ACAAATTGCCACCCGATTTTATACGTGTTGCCTCCCAATGTACCCTGAATGTTATGGAAAATAAAAAAGATGTAGCACTAGTTGCCTCTTAATGGGCGGGCAATAAATGTATAAGTGGTTCCAAACATTTTCGAATAGCACTTATCAAAATAAGTTTGTAATTTCAGACATAATTTATGACTTTTGTGCATTGATATTTGTCACAATTATACCTATATAACTAAATATCAAAATAATATACTATATACTAAATATACTATTTTGTGTAATGATAGGATATAATCAAATTCTAAGTTAGCTGAGCTAAACTGTAATAATTAATAATATACACTATCGTAAGTGATCGAGTATCGTTTGTAGCCACTAATTGAAAATGCGTATGAAATAACCAAACACTTTATTTTAATTGATTAGTTTTTATATAATTATTATTTTAATATAGAATTATATACGTATTATAAAAATTTAATATAAAATATATCAAATTTTGAATATAAACAAAATATATTGGCTAATGTATAATGTCCACATCGTTGAATTAAAATAAAATTACGTAGTGATATTCTAACTTAATTGTTTAGCTTATCAATCYTGAGCTAAGTGTCACTAACAGGTGGCTTCTTAATTATGTAATCCCAATAATGTTTTATTACCTACTTCACGTGAACGTATTCTACTGGTTGTGTAGATTGTATATTTCTTATTAAAATAAAAATAAAAGAACCCAACACACTAGATGCAGYCCTCGGACCCGACGCAACTACCACCACACAAATCCTTAAATTCCTAAGCAAAACAAATCTGTATATTACATTTAAATCTAAAAATAAATGTATGCATAAATAACTGTAACTAATGGCCTTTGTTGCCGATGTTTATAAGAACAATAAAAAAAAAGAACCTTTGTTCGAAAAACATTGATTTTGTTTTTGTGAATTATAGCACAATTCTCCCATATTAAAGGAACTACATATAATAACAAACATAATAATAATAATAACAATAACATAGATGTTATTATTACTACTTATGAGTGTAGGATTAAGTTATACAGCATGAGTGAACATTTCCAGCTACTTAGGTTTACCGGTTGATAAATCGGTACCTATAATATTTTTAGCCTTTGCTAGATTCGTTGTAATTTGGTAAGTGTATCACAGATTATGCATGAAATAAATTTAAATAACATATTTTCATAATATAGTTRATGATGGTGAATTGACTCCATGTTAGCTTTTTGTCCCCAATTACGACACCGGTATGTCGTATTAATGTTGAGTACCTTCATAGTATTGTAGTTAATATTTACAATACCTAGTCTATTATTAAAATAATTACATAAATTATAACATTGTGTTAAATATACATTTTTTATACGCACAGCCAGTAAAGGGTCACATCGTAATTTTAAAATTTAATAAAAAATCTATACAATAATTATATTTATTACATATAAGTATAATGTAGACCATTATATCAAATGTATAGTATTTGGTAATTGTAGTAGAATTGTATTTTTAAATAAACAATAGAAATAGAAACGTCAGAAAAGCGGAGAGTAATAAGAAACAAGTTTCTCTTCCCACACACCGGGGTCATCGGTTAAAAAAAAATTCTTTTTATCTATATTATAATTTATAATACAATGTAATACAATACTATTGACATTTTAGCTACTACAGTGGAATTTTTTCCATTGATGATTTTTTTAAACGGAACTTCAGTATCAAATGTTTGAGTTCAGCTAAAAGGATTTTGTTCTTTGAATATATTAATATTTATAAGTTGATCTGACTTGCTTTAAATGAATATAAGCTGTAGGTGTTAAAAAATGATGTATCTATACTTGATTTTATCATGAATGGATGTATGTGCTACTACAATATTTTTTACCGAAACTTGGATTTTAAAATTCAAAATATTTTTATAGAATTAGATATTAGTGCGTAGAATCTTAAAACATATGAACAATTGTCAGTCAACATTCAAATAGTATTTGTACTACCTAATAAGTTAATAGTCAATGGATTTATTCATTTACCTAATCATTTTTTAACACAATATAAAAATGTAGCAATCGATTTTATTTTATTACCACGATACGGTTAAAATTCCGATATTATTAAAATGAACCTATTAWGGTAAAATAATTTATTGGCAAGATATAAAATATTATAYTATACATTTATAACATAATAAAAACTAACATTTATAACCATTTGTTACGTCTAACGTAATAGCTTATTATTTGGTTTCAATTACTCAGATTATGTACAAAAAAATTCAAATTTTTTAAACTATTTACATTATCTAGCCAATAGATAGGACTTGATAGGTGTAATAATATTAAACATTATAAGCGTAATAAATTGAACAAAATAAGTTGTTACAAGGTATTTATAATTTATTTATGATTTTTATTTTTATAAGTCTACGATTACTTTTTTTTTTTTTGGAAAAAAAAAGACTATTATTTGTATGTGTTATGAGGTAATGTTTATTTGACATGTTTTGTTACATCCGACAAGAGGATTCTTGTTCATAAGAAATGAGGAAATTAACTAGTCGTAATATCCGAGTGAATATTGTTATTTTTAATTGTCATTTCCAAGCTTCTCATCAGTTGAAACTTGAAATGTTAAAAAGTTTGCCATTTTTATAATGAATTTTAACCCTTAATTGTTTATTTGTGAAGTAGAAAAATCTTAATAATTTGAACATACCCATTATATTTATTAATTCATTGATAGAAGCTTTAATATCATTGGTCAGTGTGTTAATAAGCAATAGTTACAGAATTGTAGTTCTTGTCACAAAGTAATCTGCCATATTATTTATTGTCCATTTGGTTATCAATTTTAATTACATAATATAATAGCACCTATATGTTAGAGATTTTTTTTTTTTATTTGAATTTATTTAAGTTTGGATGTTTCGAGCAACTTCATAAGCCTGGGTATTGTTTTGAAGTTTCAACAAAACGCCGAGTGAATCACTTAAAATTTTGTCAATGAACAACACACCAATTGAGAGAANAAGAGGATTCTTGTTCATAAGAAATGAGGAAATTAACTAGTCGTAATATCCGAGTGAATATTGTTATTTTTAATTGTCATTTCCAAGCTTCTCATCAGTTGAAACTTGAAATGTTAAAAAGTTTGCCATTTTTATAATGAATTTTAACCCTTAATTGTTTATTTGTGAAGTAGAAAAATCTTAATAATTTGAACATACCCATTATATTTATTAATTCATTGATAGAAGCTTTAATATCATTGGTCAGTGTGTTAATAAGCAATAGTTACAGAATTGTAGTTCTTGTCACAAAGTAATCTGCCATATTATTTATTGTCCATTTGGTTATCAATTTTAATTACATAATATAATAGCACCTATATGTTAGAGATTTTTTTTTTATTTGAATTTATTTAAGTTTGGATGTTTCGAGCAACTTCATAAGCCTGGGTATTGTTTTGAAGTTTCAACAAAACGCCGAGTGAATCACTTAAAATTTTGTCAATGAACAACACACCAATTGAGAGAATCGTGATGGCCAACATGGTTGCTTCATATAAAGTGGTGACTGGTGAGTGATAGCTATAGGTTTTCTTGTGAAAATAYAAATGTTTCTGTTGGCAGTATTTACATAATTAAATCATATTGAGTGAGGAACTACCCAAAAATGTATTGTTACTCGTAATATCAATAAAATTAATTTTTATACATTAAATGAATGATCACAGCAGTTTTTATAAAAGTATTGAACTTATATTTTTTTGTTCTAATGGTTGTTCGTGATTATACATAATTTAAACAAATTTAAATAATTAACGTTTTAAAATCTTGTATAAAACAAAATTGCCTCCTCTAACGTTTTACACATAATAGTATAATACTTACCTACAGTAGCATATTGATCGTTTTAAACAGTWTAATGACTTTAAACTATTGATAAAAATTGACGTGCTTACTCTGTTTTTCTATTTATGTATAAACGTATTATAGTTGGGTTATTTACAGGCCATCACTTAAGATTCATTTTATATTGTTGGTTTATTTCATTATCAACATAAAAATTACTTTAAAAAATTTAAATTATTTGCTGTTCGTGTGAGCAATAAATTTAAGTTGGTTCAAATAAAACAGTATAACTTTTTTCAAATTAAACATTATTTATTATAATTGCACAAACACACGCTATTATAAAAATATATAACAATTCAGGAATGTATTTAGTATAATTAAAGTTTTACACAATACACTATGTAGAGTATATTATAAGACAAACGTTTAGATAATTCATTTTATTTTGATGGTTTAACATTTGTATAATATAAATGTATACAAAGTAAATTATGTGGATTGTAGCTATGTATTTAATGAGTTAAAATTATAACTATTTATTTTTACTTTTATTTTATTTTGTTTCAATATTTATGTAGCATAAAAATTAAATTTTAAATAAATGTATGATATAATCTGTTCTGATAAAATATCTGGACTTTTCATAAAATTGTTAAAATTATTAAGCCAAATTCGGTAGACAAATAATATTATTTGTATATTATTTTAAAATAAAAATTGTTAAGAAATATTATTATAATGTTATAAAAATTTTAAAAAAAAAATTAAATGATTTTATTTGAATAAAGGGTATTTAATTATTGTTTCATTTAAATTAAATAATGTTTATTTTAGGTGAAGAAATAATGTTAATAACTGTGGTTTGGCATGGCGTGGTTGCTGCAATCAGGTCACGCAACATAATTGAAGGTATGCACCACCAACTACCACTATTTCCTAGATGGGTGACCACAAACACCTTGTCACACATACACGTGTTACCAAACCCTTCCCTCCACAGTTAAAATATCTAATAAGAAAAACCACCCAAGCAACAATGTTGCCACAAKTTAATTATTAAAAAAACGTGAACAAGTGAGTACCGCTTCACAATACAGTAGATAGTTGTCGAGCATGTAATTGTAAGGAATATTTTATATTTGAATAAAATTTTAAATCATTGGATACGAAAAATGATTCTGAACGGAGGCGTTATGGCACCCTAGTACATTTAAAAAAAAAAAAAAAAA